CTTTATGCTAGAGAGTGGACTTCTGCTATCCTTCGGCTTCAAAAATTTTCTGAACTTCCTAGCAAAAGCCGCCATATACTCGTCAGTTAAAAGAATAGAGGGGTCAAAATTATTTACCTGAGAGGTGCTAGCAGTGAGGGCAGTAGTTGTTCTATCCTCAACTTCTTCTTTCTCTTCTTCATTCATCTCAAACTCATAAGACTTGAGATCAGAGATGAGTTTCTCTGTGCTGTAGGTTCTGAGATCCTTGCTATCTCTCATGGCAGTGACCTTCATCTTCCATGGTGAAGGTAGGCCTCTGAGAACCTTTAAGTTGATCTCCTTGGGAGTAAGTTCCTTCCCAAGTTCTGATATTTCAGCAGTGAGGGTGAGCAAGCGTGCATACATCTCAGTTATGCATTCTTTGGGTAGAAGTTTGAAATCTTCAAACTTCTTCATGGCAATAGTAAGTTTGTTGTCCTTTTCTTGCTCATCTCCAGCTCCTATCAGGGTAAAAGTATCCCAGATTTCCTTGGCAGATTTGCACTTCTTGATCCTTGTGAAGTACTTGTCATCAATGGCCTTGTAGAGGATATCCTTGGCAATGTTGTCAAGGTTGTAGTTCCTCCTCTCTTCATTGGACCATTCATGGCGCAGTTTGTTGATCATCTGGGGTTGACCACTACCAGTGATGTATTCTGGGTTGACCTTGGTGAACTCTGTGAAAGGTCCTGCATCAAGAACTTCCCACATTTCGTCATGGAGTGCGCAGAGGTGAGCTTTCATGCGGATCCTCCAGTCATCAAACTTTGTTACTGAGAACATAAGATTCTTTGAAAGAGTGTTATCCATTATATCAGATAGAAATGAGGTAAAACAGAAAAACAAAAGGATCTTTGTTCAACAAATAACCTAAGAGATTATTAGAACAAGGAGGCTCTGATACCACTTGTTGGTCCCGGTTATACTGGATACAGTCTAGAGGGGGGGGGGGTGAATAGACTGTATTGGTTTTTAGCTTTTTAAACTAAGTACCAGATTTACAGAATAGCCTGTTCTGTTGAAAGAACAGACTGACAGCGGATGGGGTTCTGGTAGGGAGTTCTGTTGATTTAGCCTCAGAGAAGCAAAGGCAGTAGGCCTTCTGTTAACTCGTAGAACAAGTTCTGCTGAACACAGATACCAAGTCCAAGGAGTTAGACAGTTCTATCTAAGTGCAAGTATTAAAGCAGTAAGTAAACGACACCAGGGATTTTTATAGTGGTTCAAGGAACAACTTGTTCCTCTAGTCCACTGTTCCACTAAGCTGTAAAAACTGCCGTTTACAAGGCCTTAGTCCTAGCACTTAAGAAGCTCTCCACGTCTTCTTCAAGTCTAGATGTCTCCTGGGATGCACTGCCTGGCTCCCTTTAAGACTGGTCCTTTCACTGAGTTTCCTTGAAGTATCACCACTTCACTACTCCAGTTACTTGGACGTCCTTCTTGTAGCAAGAAGAGTTTCTGTTGAAACTGGGGTTCCTCCAACTAGCTTCGTTACAAAAGATTTGTATGTGATGAGTTTGAAGAGTTGAAGAACACTTGGAACTTTGCTTGAGTTGGAAAAAGTATTTTTCCAACTTCTGCCTTCTCTTGTAGAAGATGATGAGTTTGAATCTCAAGGAGGCTTTTTGCTTTTCAGAGTTTGAATATCTTGTATGAAGAGTTGTAGCAATGTGTAGCAAAAGTTGCAAAGTTATCCGGTTGTTCTTCGTAGTGTATCTTTTATACTGAGGTTGTCTTCCTGTTGGAGGAGTAGGAGGACAACTGCATTTAATGCGCGAGCAGTTGACTTGACCAGTAGGACCCGGTAAAGTTGGCGGGTTACTATTTTGGGATAAAGTAATCCTGACATTGCGGCCAATCATCTGCAATTACTCCACGGAGCATGGGGAGCATTAAATGAGCATTTAATGCGAGCACTGTAGCTTTTCCGTTTCATACTCCTAGCCGTTGAAGGAATCTTTTAGTTGACTTCCCGGCTTTGTGGATTTCTTCCAAGTGTCAGACCTTCTGGTGTCTTTGGCAGAGAATTGATCAGAGAAGATCTTGAGCACTTCTGTTGAAAGTAGCTTACAGAGAACCAAGAGGGTTTCTGTCAAACTAAAGGGTAATAGAGACCTTGAGGTTTTCTGTTCCTTGACAGAGAACCAAAATCTTCTGTCAGGAGGTCTTCTGGTAGAGAGGCCTTCCGGTAGTCGATTATGCTAAGAACTTTACAAGGAAAAATTCTAATACATATTTTCTAAAGGGGTACTCTAAAGTCCTAATTAATACAGCATCATCAAAATCTAAAATACAATTATTCCTTACAAAATGATTGCTCGTTGATTCAGAATATAGCCACCGACCATCATGATCGTTCTGGTGGTCCAATTACACGACATCGAACAAAGAAGCTTCTTATCAAGCTAATTTTTTAAAGGGGAAGAGAAGAAATGATAGAGAGCACAAGAGAAGGAGAAAAGGGGAGAAAGGAAAAGGAGCAATAGAACTTCGATGATGCTCAAATTCGAGATGGTTAATTGTCAAAATAGGACTAAAAGATGGTTATTTTGCACAATAGGACAAAAAAGTAAACTATGTTTTAATAGGACTAATTATGTGTGTGTTAGACAAATATACCATTGTTGTTATTAAAATGTTTTAAATTCATAATAAAATAATAAAAATATGTAAAAAATTAATAAAAATATTAACATAATAATTATTTAAAAAAAAATAAAAAAAAATAAAAAATAAAAAACGCAAAAAAAATTCACTGCCGCCTCTACCGCCCTAGCACCACCACCTCCTGTAACCACGGGGAAAAAATGCCACATCCATTATGAATGCCATATTTATGGAAGATTCAATGAAAATTTTGGCATTCTCAAAGAGTAATATTCCATTTTTGGGCATTTTCAGAAAAATGACAGTTTTTAGAAAAAGTGACATTTTTTACACCGGTCGACGGTGGCGGTGCAAGGAGGCAGTACAGGCGCTGGAAAAGGCATTCATATGATTTTTGTTTTTTATAAATATTTTATTATTTTTCTACGTGTTTCATTATTTTTTTACAAATTTATATGATTTAAAACATTTAATTATGATTTTTGACTACATTTTATTCATATTTAAAGGAGGGGTAAGAATGGAATGAAAAAAGAGGTATGTTTCCAATAGTGGAAAGAGTCAATTGAGTACACCAACTTGTACGAGGTGGAGTAAAGAGTACACTATATTGCATTTGATCTTTTTAAGTACACAAATTCGGGATTTTAGTGTTAATTGAGTACATTTGTTAGATTAACACGTTAATACAGCTGAGTTGGCTAACAGAATGTCGAGTAAGAAGGGATAATGGACCAATGTTATGGTGTTGACCTTCACGAAGTCGATAGAAAAAGAAAATCGATCTTCGGAGGTCGACCTGCGGGGGCATCGGCCAGCAGGGGTGCATCGACCAAGGAGAAGTCGACCTGCGGAGGACTGACGTCGATCAAGGGGAAACTAATCAAGTGACTGGGGGTTGGCATCGACCTTCAAAAAGTCGACCTATTAGTGTTAGCCAACTCAATCGTATTAACATGTTAATCTAACGAGTGCACTGAATTAACACAAAAAAACTTGAATTTGTGTACTTAAAAAGATCAAATGCAATATAGTGTACTCTTTACTCTACCTCATACAAGTTGATGTACTCAATTGACCCTTACCTCATTTCCAATAGGACTAATATGGTCCTATTTTAGAATAAAAACTTAACAAGTCTTATTTGGGGATTTTGCCATAGTTTTAGTCCTATTTGAAGTAATTTCCGTTGTATATATCCCGGAGTCGCGAGTCTCCCCTCCTGCAGCCTGGATCTTGTCTCTCACGGTCTCACCAATTTGTGAGCTTACTTTGATGCAATTTCAAATACTCCCTCCGTCCCAAAAACAATTTCCCACTTTCCTTAAATGGATGTTCCAAAATTAACTTCACACTTCTTCCCACTTCCTTATTTGGCACATTATCTACATCAAAACAGTGCCAAACAATGTCTAACAATTCTAAAAAGTGTCCAAACAGTGTCAAAACAGTAAAATTTATCCCACTAGTAAGTTTATTTCCTTAATATGTGTGAAAAATGAAGTGTGAAGTTATTTTTGGGACGGAGGAAGTATTATATTTCGAAGTAATACATATACACACATTATACATACATATACATATAAATATATTAATAAATATATTAATACATATACACACAAATATAAAATATATTCGAAATATTAAAAAATACATATACCACCATATTAATATTAATTAAAATATAAACACTATATAATAAATATTTTTCTCTATTAATAAATCATATGCCCTTAAATGTCGGACATTTTCTAGCTCTTTTTGCCAAACAGTGTACTCCTTTCAGCTAGTAATTCAGATTCAACACCTCAAAGTTCAGCTCCAGCCAATAGACTCTGATTTAGACAAAAACTCATAATTCAGACATTAGTCTCCTGTTCCAACTCATTGTGCCAAACATAACTTTAATGACATTATTACTCTGAGATGAAAAGATAAATTACGATACCATTTAATAAACATACTCGTTTGTCATAGCCGAGTAGGTGACTACACAATCACACAATATTATTCCTGCTTCAGTTTTTTAGCAATATTCTCAAATTGTCATATATTATCGCTTGCTTCGTTTTAGTTGCAACAAGCATTTTTTACACTATTCAGATATTATATTTTGACAATATTTTATCTATTAATGTATGAAAATTATTTTTACTGAAATAAATTGTTGATTTCGTTCATTACAAATTTCATAATCAGATTTTTAAAATTATTTTCTATATATAGAAAATTAAATATAATAACGGTCAAAATTATACATTAAAAAATAAGAAAACAAGAATGTCGCAACTGAAAATGAATAGAGAAAATATATAGAAAGGGCTACATAATTTAAATATTTATGGTGAATTTAAATATGAGACAAAAATTTATGATAATGATGTTTATTTATTATATCTTACAAGTTGAGGTACAACAGATTGTGCTAAAAAAGAAGGTACAGATAATTTAAGGTTTCATGGGCGGGGCAACTAAATACGGAGTACATCATATTTGGATGAATTAATATATTATTATTATATTATGGCAGCTCCAAACGTGAAAGGACAAGAATGCCATCAACTCTAATGGCAAAAAATTCCGATGCGCAATGGTTTTACGGTTTTACCCATTTTCTCTAAGATGTGATTGGTTGCTTCAGAATTAATCCCAGAGAGATGATCCAAATCCATCATATTGGTCTTCGATGTAGTAATTGGTTTCGGGTAAAGTCCCCGGGTAATAATAGTTATTACCGAAATAATCCAATCCAGGAAAATACCCGTAATCCGTAAAGTCGTTATTAATCGGAGCGTCCCACGAGAAGGAAGAGAACTGCTGGAGAAACCCGTCGTCAAAGGTCGTTTCTGGCATTTCACCTTCCACATGTTGAGCGGGCCCACCGGGCCCCGGCTGAGGAGGTGAGTCAGCATTCATGAAGTGAGGTGGCGAAAACGAAGTCGAATGATCCGAAACAATCTCACGGCTTGGACCCGATCCGCCAACCTGATGAGCCTCTGCGTTGGCGTAATGGGTCGCCGCAACCTTAATTTCGTCGTCCGACATTGAGCTGATGCCGCCGGGGATGTCGGGAGGGTTGTCGGGGAAGTTGAAGTTAGCATTCCTTCCGCGGAGACAAAAAAGGGCGGCGTCGAACGCCCGCGCCGCCTTCACCGGCGAGTCGAAAGAGCCGAGCCAAATCCGGTGCCGGCTATTGGGGCGCCGAATCTCCGACACCCATTTCCCCCACTCCCTCTTCCTCACTCCCCTGAACCTAGCAGAAGACGAGGCGTCGTCGTTTGAATTGTTCTCCATTTCGGAATTGTCGGTGGAACTGGTCTCCAGAGTGTTTGGAAGATGGAATGTTTTTTTGAATTTTGGAAGGTTTGGAATGGAGGGAGAATGGGGAATGGCGGCTGAATTTATATGTAACGCGAGGATAGTGAACTGTGAAGAGTGGCGCGGTTTGTATAAAGTCAATTAGGCCGTGTTTGGATGACGCGGTGGGACAAGGACGTGCAACGTGGACATGTTCGGTCCACACGCCACGCGCCTGTCAGATGTACTCCCCAACCGTTAAAACAAATGAACAACGGCCGTACTAGGATCCGAGGGTGGGACATGTCCCATGAATAACAACGATTCTTGTCGTACACTCTCGTATTTCATTATTGTTGTACCCTCTCGTATTTGTCAAAGTTTTTTTGTCCGCGAATCTCGATACACAGACAACAACATACTTTGTTTTATCTGTAGTATTTTTCACAGACAAAATAAGCATATTTTTGTCTGTGGACTGGGATTCACATACAAAAAAACTCTCACAGACACGGGAGTGTACTGATGTGTATAAGAAGGTGCACAAAAGAAATTTTGGGTGGAATAATGCTCAACTGATGAATTAACAATACTCTTCCCTCTGTCTCTTCTAACTTTGCCAACTTTCTTCTTTTGATGTCCTAAATTTTTTGTCACGTTCCCTTTTAATCAATCAATTTCTGGCTCTTGTTGTTTCTCTCTCCTCTGCACAAATATCTACCACATAGTTTTTACATTATTATTCTACGTGTCGTCAAAATTTTAGAATCTTTTGCATTAACAAATAAAATACGTTAAAAGTTCAACATGTGAATAATTGAATATAGTTAAATACTCCCTCCGTTCCTATTTTATCTTCCAAATAGTTTTGGCACACAATTTAAGATAGTGGGTATTGTGTGGTGGAGAGTTGTGCAGAGGAGAGAGAAATGTGTAAGAAATGTTGTGAACCACAAATTCTTTACTAAAAAGGGAAAATGGAAGTTTTAATTGGAACGGACTAAAAAGGAAAGTTGGAAATTTTAATAGGAACGGAGGGAGTACTCCGTACAACACTAATGCAAAGTGTGTGAGAAATAAGAATAGTAAAAACTGTGTGGTTGAGATTTGTGCAGAGGGGAGAGGAATGTGCTGAACCACAAATTATTTGCTTTAATAGGAAAGTGACAAAGTTTTTTGGGACAACAAAAAAAGAAAGTTGGTAAAGTCTAATGGGATGGAGAGAGTAATTAACCACCGCAAATGATCTCGTACTTATTTTGTCCCAAAAACTATTACCACATTTCAATTAAAGCAGTTATCTTCTGATGTTCATTTTTCTTTTATTTACAAGTCTCAATCGCATAATTTTTACTTTTCATATTTCTTACTTTAAAATTGGCAGAGACTATTTGGGCGGTGATAATATTAGATTGAGGTCTAAGCTCAGTTTTATAATTTAATATTTGCTATTATTGTCAAAACCCTTTATTATTTTAATCCATCTATTTTATTTCTCTGTATGTAATTTTGATAATCTTGTTTAACTAGCTGCTAAATTGAGATGCAAAATTAAGTATACTTACTAGCGATACATAACGTACGGTTAGTATTCGAATTTCATTCTAAAAAGTAAATTTGATAGAAGGCCCAATTCAGAGTCAAATATAATAATGATGGAGTATATGGGCCTGAACCCCAAGGCCCACATAATCGGAAGAACAGAAGGTACCATGACCACCGTGTGGGACCCTTGTCGGCCAGATGACCCTCATCGGTCGACGAAGAAGGCTACTCAGATTGTGATCCAGAAGCCAGGAAGAGTCGGGTGACCTCGTCGTCCGGGTCTTCGTTGGACACGCCCTCGTCGGCCGTGCCCTCATCGGCCACAGATGGCCTCCAGAATAGGACTTTACACTTAATCTTTTCTATGTACTTTGTATCCGGCCCATTAGTGGCCCTATGGTAAATGGGCCTCCCAAGCCCAAGACTTGGGAGCCCAGCCCTAATTGTTCCTATAAATACTCCCTCTGGAAGTAGTTGTAAGGGTTCAGAATTCATTAATACAAAGCAAATATACTACTTCTCTCTAGCTCTCACTTCTCTCTAGACTTGTAGTCTATCAAATACCCTTTTGTTTTATAGCATTAATGTATGAAACAAATACTTTAACACATACTAGCATTAAGAATATACATAATTTATAATCTGCTTGTTTGTGTTTTTTTTACTCCATGGGGTCTGGGGGAGGGGGCTGGGGGCCTTGGAGTAATCAGGGCTGAAACTCACTTAGTCACTCCATTGAGTTTCAAACCTTTTATGTGCCTAACAGGTTTCGAATTCGAGATCTCTCGCTAGACATGATAACCTCACAACCAGCTGAGCTGGAATGCTTAGTTTCTACTTGTTTGTGTATTAAGAAGTTAAAGTTGTTGGGATTTATTTGCTTTGCAGTTTATATTTCGATTCAAGTGTTAGCCACAAAATTATTATGTAAAAGTTGTGTTTTCACCGTAAACGACTGAGTATTGTTATTTATCACTCCCTACGTCTATTAAAATTTTATCAACTTTTTTTATGTCCCATTAATTTTGTCTTTTTTCTTTTTTGATAAAGTATTTATGGTTCTAATTAATTCATTTTTTTCTATACAAACAACTGTCACATTATTTTTACATTATTAATTCTCGTATTAATAAAACTTAAGGAAGGGAAAAGATTACAAATTTATCTCCAAAAGTCTTTTGGTGATTTGAGCTATGACGTAATCAGTTTGGTAGCAAATGATTTACACAAAAAGTAGTGTACTGTTTCAGTTGTAAGACAGTGACCCTCGTCCCACCGAACTCAGCCGCAGTCACATCACTTTCTATTCCAGACTTATGTTCACAGGCTACCTTAATTCAAGAGAGTGACAATAATGGGAGTATATTCAAATCAAATCGTAGGCGAGTACCGCGTGGCCTCAAATTTGACCATGCGAGAATGGTTGAATACTTACTTATTCAACACTTGCACTATATTCACTCACAAAAGCTCTTTGTTAGGGTACCCTTTGGTTCGTCCCATTAGAAATTTTTCACTTTCCTTTTTTGGATTCATATAAAGATTCTGATTTTTAGTTTAGAAAACAATTAACAATCTTAAGTGACAAATTGATCATTAAATATTTAAAAATATATTTATAACATCACAATTATCAATACTAAATACATTATAATGCATATCTATTAAAATTATTTCTCAAAATATACTCGAAACACTTTATTTAATTATTGTCTAAATAACCGAGTCATTTTGCTATGAGAACCTTCCAACGGGACAGAGGTAGTACTATAAATCAATTTTTGGTAAAAGTCAAACATTCTCTTAAAAAGTCAAACATTTTATATAATAATGTTTGATTTTTTTTGAGAGAAAAGAGAAATAAAAACAACCACAAATCCATTGATTAATAAAGTAAGTGACAAATTTTTAAGACAATTAAAAAGGAAATATGACAATTGATATACATGAAAAAGAGTTACTCCCTCCGTCTCGTTGGAAGGTTCCCGTGACTAATTGACACAATATTTTAGGCAAGTTAAATAAAGTGATTTGATAAAAAAGAGATGAAAGAAAAAATTTAGAAAAAATAAACATATAAAGTGAAAGTAATTAAAGGTAGAATAAGTTGAGGGGGAAAGAAATTGTGAGACTTGATATGTAATGAGTAAAAAAGAATTTTTTGAGTAAAGATTGAATTAAAGAAAATAAATTATTTCCTAAACTGGAATGTGAACTCTTAAACGAGACATCCAAATAAGAAAAATGACACTCCTAATTTTTTCAACAGGATGAAAGGAGTATTATTTGTGATTGAATATAAATACTCATAATTGGAGCTTGGTTACCTGTACCGACCATAGGACTGTCGCCGGGTTGTTGTCGCTGGTATGGTACGCAGCGGGATTGCCACCGTTGTAGTGCCACTGCAGCCAGGGCGGAGCCAAGGGGGTCAGGGTGGTCAGCCGACCCCGCTGAAAGTTCAAGAATGTAGAGCTCTGAAATACCTTCGATTTGATATATTATGGGTCCCGTAACTCATTACGAGTAAAAAGTTATGACTTCTGGAAAAATCAGCACCATCTTAACCTGAAATAGGCAAAATTTGATGTGTGACGTTGATTGTATTCTTAAATTTAAAAATAAAACAACTTATTCAGTCATTAGTTGTGCGAACATTATGATACATTACCTATATATAAACACATTAATCGAAAAAATCTCATTAAACTACCATTTATCTCGCCTACATATGAAACATTTAACTCAAGTATTGTATAATAACTATCCATCATTTCGATACTGTATATAATTAAATTTTGACCCCCTCACACATTTTTCTGACTCCGCCCCTGACTGCAGCCGGAGTGCACCGCCATTGTACACATGAGGAGTTAGGGAGGGTAATTAATTATATTAAATGTTGAAATATAATGTTTAGTCTTATATAAGGAAAATAAAACATATAGTCCTATGTATATATGGAACACTGCTACTCCATATATTTTAGTCTTATTTGACATTTTTTTCTGGATTTAAAAGAAAAAGCCGGAGAGGTGACAAATCTGAATAGAAGAAAGTCCTGGAGATATTAGTGAAGTGCAAAGGCTGACTAGGGCATTTGAGAACTCGCGTAAAATTCATCTATGATTTCAAGAGACATCGAGTTCTTGGTGAATACTAGTTTAATTGATCAAATCGATCTGGTGAACTTGGTGAATTTTCGATTGAACGATTAAAATGATTAAATTTGATGAATTCTGAAAAATTATATGAATAAAATAAAGAAAAATTGTATAAAAATCGCTAAAATAATTATCTTCGTCATTTTCAATCTTTTCAACCTTATAAATGAGTCTAGTATTACATATTTTGATTATTGCACGATTTATCACACAAATCAAAAGTAATGTGTTCTATAAAAAAAGTAGAACTGAAAAATCGGACAAATCAGTGAAATAAGGGTTACCAAACAAGACATTTTTTTGAAAATATTTGTTATGTTTTTTTGTAATTGAAACATACCTGATAATGTGGGATTGGTGAATCATCGTAACTAGAGCAGGCGATAATCGAACCACATTGAATTGTAAGTTGTGAATAATAAGTTTTCGATTTAGAGTTTGTTAGGCAACACTGAAAATGACTAAATCGATTGATTCTGCTGTGCTGAATAATGAAAAACTTATATTTGAAATAAATTTTATGAATAAATTGAACAAATTATATGAAGAAAAAAAATCGTCTTGAATAATATAATCCTGTCAATTCAACAAAAAACGACTTTAAGCTTGGTAATTGTGGTTATAAAGTGCAGAAAATCAATAGTTAAACGTTTAATGAAAAATTTGATTGATAAAATCGATAATCCTAAAAACAGAGACGGCCAATCATAGAAGTGCAAGTACTTCTAATAGACATGGAGGTCCAACTCTTATTGTGAACGAGTATTAGTGCTTTAAATACTAAAAAAAATACTGTAAACTTTTTTAAAAAACATTCTGCGTTTTGTCAAGGAATTGCAAAATTGGTGTGGGCAAACACATTTTTTCAAGATGAAACTGCCTTGTCATAATCTTAGGACAGGAACTAACCAGTGGCATCATATTTTCCATAAAATATTACACCTATATTTGTATCTCAAAATCTGAAAGAACAAAAGTGCCATTAATCAGGTCCAGTGGCAAAAAAAAAAAATCCCGGACCAATGATTTTGCCCATTTCCTCTAAGATGTAAGCGTTGCTTCAAAAATTCCAGAGAAATGATTCCTGTGAAGTAAATTCAGCATATTGGTCTTCCATGTGGTCATATGTTGCCGGTAAAGGCAGTGGGAAATAACTGTCATCGCAAAAATGATCAAATTCCGAAAAATACCCCAACTCCGTTACTTTATTTTCACCAGGAACGTTCAATGAAGAGGAGACGAAGAAACGCTGCAGAAATCCGTCGTCCTCAAAGGTTGTTGGTGTCATTTCACTTTCAAACCGGTGGCCCGGCCCGTGGCAAATCAACTGAGAAGGCGACTCGGCATCGAAGGAGTACGATGACGAAAGCGAGGTCGATGGATCCGGAACAATCTCACTGCAGGGACCGGACTCGCTAACCCGGGTCTCCGCATTGGCGTAACGGGCCGCCACGACCTTGATTTGGTCGTGGGACAAAGACCCGCCGTCGGCGATGTCGGGAGGGTCGTCGGGGAAGTTGAAATTAGCATTCTTACCGCGGAGACAGAAAAGTGCGGCGTCGAATGCCCGTGCCGCCTTCTCCGGCGAGTCAAATGAGCCGAGCCAAATCCGTTCCCGGCTGTTGGGGAGCCGAATCTCCGACACCCATTTCCCCCAATTCCTCTTCCTCACTCCCCTGAACTTACAAGAAGACGCCGAGACGTTGTCGTTCGAGTCTCTGCTCTGTTTTTCCGGCCTCCCCATTTGATTTTATGTTTTGCTGAATTGCTGGAGCCTGGATCTGAATCTCCTAAGAATTTAGAAGATGGATTGAATTTCGGAGTGGCGGCTGAATATATAAGTAGCGCGGGGAGAGTGAAGTGGGAAAGTCAAACTGGCCGTGTTGGAAGACGCGGTGCAACAAGCACGTCTGGTAGACATGTCCGGTCCACACGCCAAGCAACTATTGGATTAGAATATTTCCAACACTAAACACAAATGAGCAAATTCTTTTTCTCATTTATTAAATTTCTTACTAGTTGTCATGTACTATCTCCATCCTAATTTGATTTTCAAATTTGACTTTTGTTGATTAAACAGTTTAGTTTTGTTCACTTAATTAGGATGCCAAATTTTAATTATATTATAATTTGGAGTTTACAACTTTGAAGAGATTTTGATGTAGTTTATGAATATGTAAATTTTAATTATTAGAAACTGATTAATAATGCATACGGAGGATTTACTTTTATTATTGGTTGACCAAAAAATATTGTCTTTGCAAAACAAATTGAGACGGAGAGAGTATTTATTAAGTCAAATAAAACTGATTGAAGTAAAATATCGAGAGAATTCCCCAAATGAGACTAAAATATAGTAAATGTGCATAAATAAGACATTAAGTTTATTATTCCCTAAATAGGACTCTTAATTGTCAATTAGACAAAATTGCCCTTAATGAAGTCGTAGGTCCTAATTTCCCAGGAACTAACCATCGACATCTACATACTATAGACTAAGTTGTCTTCACCAACCACCGCCAACCTCCTACGTCAACCTTCAGTGAGTTTGCTACTACTTTTTTCCGGCGAGCCGACACCATCCTTCGGCGAGCCGACACCATCCTCCGGTGAGCCGCTGGAGACGCCGCCGCCCTCTGGACGGTCTCTTGTTGATCTCCCGAGAGAATGCCGTGTTGACAAGAATAATGACATATCAGTGACATTTTTATGTAGAAATATGACATTTTTAGTTGTGAAAACATTTGCTTTTAAGATGAAATGTAAATGTATTTTCAAGCCAAAGATCCTGACTTTTTTGTTAGACATTATGTGAATATCATATTAAAATTGAAAATATAAAATTTGAGAATAAAATAGAAAAAATGAAAAAAAGAAATAATATTGCCTTCTTTATACATTTAATGCTATAAAAATGACATAATTTGGCAAAAAGTCCAAAAACGTGTCATTCTAATTATTGTATTTTCAAATTAAAATTGCCATCTTGATATAATGTAATATAGTTTGGCAAAAAGTTCAAAAACATGTTATTCCAATTAATGTACTTTCAACTTAAAATTGCCATCTTGATATAATGTAATTCCATAAAATTGACATTTTTCTAATAGACAACATTTATGGCATTTCCTTGAAAAAAAATTAATCAAATTTAAAAATTAATAAAATTTGAAGTCCAAATATTGGCGCTTCATCGAACCATTATCAGATCTAAAGTCCAAATTAATCGGTTTTCCAATCAGTGCTTCATCGAAACATTATCACATGGAAGAGAACAAAAAGAGGACAGGGGAAGAGAAGAGAGTAGAAGAGAGACGGGGAAGAAATAGAAGAGAAATTACTTGGTTCTGTAGAGGAAGAAAAGTATATTCATCGTGTCTCTCATTCCTGTTCGATCATAGTTATTTATATACATTTGTATTTACAAAGAAAGTTCTAGATAATGTCAGCTAAGCTCTAGTTAGTTAAATAACAAACTAACTAGTCAGATAACCTACTTAACACAATTTTAATCATCGCGAGGAATTTCCATTGTTCGCGACATCATAATCTTGTTATCCAATTGCATATTAACATTCCTAAAAAGAAGTGAAAAGTGATAATGAGACATCTAGCATGATTTAGTAATAAGAAGCTAACGTAGATATACCATTAAAACTAACAATGAAAAGACCATTACTTTAGGAAATGAAAAAACAATGAAGACTAAAATTATTAAATCATTTAACTGTTGATGTAGTACGTAGTAATTATGTTTAAGCTAGTATACTGCTTCCAATTTTTTTAGAAAGGATTAAGCACACTGCTTCCAAACTTTTCTAGCAGCTCACATTTAAAGAAAATAGGCTCTATATTTAAGTAAAGTTTATATGCTCACAATTATATCTCAGAAAAATGAATTGTGTCTCAACAGGCAGATTTGTGCTTTCAAATCTATTTGAAAAACATCAGAAGATCACATGAGCACTTCATCATGTAATACTTCAACTATTGCTAGACTTATACTTCCTCCGTTTCTGAAACAAGTTCCACATTTGACATCACACGTAATAAGAAAATAAATTTGACTTTTCTGTGGAGTGCACTGTTTGGCACTGTTTGAACACTATTTGGCACTGTTTGAACACTGTTTGACACTGTTTTGATGTAGATAATTTACCAAATAAGGAAATGTTTGAAAGTGGAACTTAATTTTGAAACTGCCCGCATAAAAGTAAAGGTGGAACTTGTTTCTGTCAATTGTATTGAATTGAATTGAATACCTCTCAATGTGAGGGTTCTTCCTATTATATAGAACAATTACAAGAATAAATAAGGCAATTAAAATCTACCTATTAATTACAAGATACTATACAAAAACATACCATAACTAGAGAAACTAATTATGGCTAAATATACAAAATATATATGCTATATCTGATTGACATCCCCCCTCAAATTGATGCTGGTCGATCAAGAAGCATCAATTTGCCCACAAGGAACTGATGACGCTGTCGTGTCATGGCCTTTGTGAATACGTCAGCTATCTGAAGATCAGTGGAAACATGAGGAAGAGATATAACACGAGTGTCCAAGGCTTCTCGAATAGAATGACAGTCTACTTCAATATGCTTCGTACGTTCATGGTAAACAGGATTAGCAGCGATTTGAATGACACTAGTATTATCAGCATGAAGAGGAGTAGAATCAGATTGAGAAAAACCAAGCTCAGCCAGAAGCCCACGAAGCCAGACAATCTCAGAACAAGCAACAGACATTGCCCGGTATTCGGATTCAGTAGATGATTTAGAAACGCGAGCTTGTTTCTTACTCTTCCAAGAAATCAAAGAATCACCAAGAAACATACACCAACCCGTGACAGACCGCCGAGTATCAGGGCATCCGGCCCAATCTGCATCACTATAAGCAACAAGACGAAGAGAAGAGCCAGCTGGGAAGAACAACCCACGGCTAGATGACCCCAGAAGATACCGAATGATACGGCGGACAGCAGCTAAATGAAGATGGCGTGGAGTCAGCATAAATTGGCTAACCTGCTGAACAGCGAAGGAAATATCAGGCCGAGTAATAGTCAAGTAGTTCAAGCTGCCTACCAACTGTCGGAACATAGTAGGATCAGAAAGAAGATCGCCCTCCTCACTTTGATATTTCAAATTGACCTCCATAGGAGTATCCACCGAAGAAGAATCTTGAAGACCAGCTAGGCGAATCAAATCCTGGGTATATTTGTGTTGATTTAAGAATATACCTGAAGGATCAGTGTGCACCTCCAACCCCAAAAAATACGTAAGAAGACAGTGTCAAACAACGTCCAAGAGATGTCGATTCTTTCGTTCAGCCACCCCATTTTGCTGAGGGGTATAAGGACAAGAGCGCTGAGAGACAATTCCTTTGTGATTTAAGAAATCATGAAACTCGTGGGACATATATTCTCCACCAGAATCTGACCTCAAAATCTTAATACCTGTAGAAAATTGGGTCTCAACATATGCTACGAAGGTCTGAAAAACAGACAAGACCTCAGATTTGGACCGAAGAAAATAGACCCAAGTATACCGACTAAAATCATCGATGAATGTCACAAAATATTTGTATCGAGCATGAGAAATAATAGGAGAAATACCCCATACATCACTATGCACAATATCAAAACATTTTTTAGCACCACTACCATGAGAAGAGAACGAAAGAGTCTTACTCTTACCAAGTTTGCATACAGAACAGTCAAATGACAAATTTTTAGAAACTTGTTCTTTATTGCTTAACAAACCAGAATTTAACATATGAGATAGAACAACAGAGTTTGGATGACCCAAACGTTTGTGCCAAACTTCATTTGGAGTGTTAACAGACACACAAGCCAAAGATAAACAACTAGGAATTGAAAAGTGTAGTGGAAATAGTCTTCCAACTTTAGGCCCCTTCGCGAGTATCTTCCCCGACACCTGATCCTGCACAAGACAACCATCACGAGAAAAATGGACATCACAGTTTTTTTCAACTAACTGGCCAACTGAAATAAGACTATTAGACAATCCAGGAGATACATAAACATCTCTGAATGAAGAATTGATATCCCCTACTTCATTAATAGCTAAATGACTCCCATTAGCTACTTGAATATGAGATGAACCATGATATGGACGAACATTGCAAAGCGTATCAGATGAATTGGTCATATGATTGGATGCAGCAGAATCAAGAAGCCAAGACTAATATGAAGTAGTACCATTACCTTGGAGCCCTAAGGCGGAAAAGGCTGACATAATCATCTGCTGAACCATTTCAGGAGTAAGAACAGATGATCCGCCCGTAGAAGAAGAAGCTGAGGACATCACTGGAGCAGAAGAGGTGTTCACTGCAGCCTGATAGGCGGTAGCTTGACGATTCTGAGGCCGAGTGGGACATTCTTTGATAAAGTGACCCTGTTTCTTACAATAGTTGCAAGATTTCTTAGCACAGTTGGCGGCAATATGACCATACTCCTTGCAGCTGAAACATTGAACCTTGCGCATATCCTTACTTTTGCCTTTCCCGTAGGCGACATAGGCTACTGGATTTGGGTTTGAGTCTTGCTGGAATGTAGCCTGTGTAAGAAGACGCTGCTCCTCACGAAGCAATTCTCCAAAACAAACATCCAAAGATGGAGAAGGATCCCGATTCATTAAATTGGAGCGAGTGACCTCAAATTCAGGGCGTAATTTCATCAGAAATTGATCTCTCTTGCTCTGCTCATGAACAGCCTGAACATCAGAGAGAGATGCAGCAGGTACCTTCGCATAAACCATATCAGAAAATTCTCCCCACAAATTCTGAAAACCAGAGAAATACTCCTGAATGGAGA